CTAATCAAATCATGATTCTACCAAATTTGAGGAAATCTCTTCAGCAGCCATTAAAGCAGCTGCTCACATATCAAAAACTAAGAAATTGCTATTTTTCAAAAACAAAAGAACTGATAAATACCTGACCCACGCCCTTCAAGGCTGGTGTTATGTTGATAAAGTCATGGTAATACCACTGGTTGGTGACTTCCATGCTACCAGGGTTATAGGTGGTAATCCCTGCATTGCCAACGCTAAAAATGCGTTTGTACCTGAAAGTGAAAGTCAGCGTTAATCAAATATATTTACCTTCAGTATAATTCATTACAATTACAATTTGAAATATCAAAGCTCTTGCTAGAAAGAGCATGATTCCTAATATCTACTATTCTAGTACTGAAAAGTTACTTCATTTCTTAAATATTACATAATACTTTTCAAAAACATCAATATTAAATAATTTTCTTTTTTAGTGGTATACTTACTTGCCCTTCCATGCCGAGTGCTTTGTAACCAAATAACATGCCACATCTTGGTTATTTGTCCCCATGTCTCAGAAGACAACACTGTTAAAAATAATGTTTTCAAACCTTAGAATCAATATAATATATCATATTAAGAAATGTTAGAATCAATATAATATATCATATTAAGAAATATAACATTAAAAAATCTGAAGATTCATATTCAACACGTAAAACTGAAGAAAATAAATAATGTAACAAAATGCAATACAAGCACATTCAGATGGAGCTATTCCCATTAACCAACCAACAGCTGAGAAATACAGTAATTTAGTAAACTTTATTACACATCTAGATCTAAATATGCAAATGACCTAAGGAAAGATAATGTGATTCTTATCTATGAAATTTTAAATGGCCATAATTATACCAAGACAGCCCTTTTCTGTATCTTAAAAATCTTTTCTAACTGAATGAGTATAAACATACAAATCCTAAGTATATAACAGTTTTCCCTTTTGTTACTAAGACTGTTTTTCATTCAGTGAAAGTAGTCTTATCTGTATAATATTCAATTAAAAGATTCTACTCTTTAAAGTAACATAATGTTGACTAAAAATATTATGTATTCTTTTGTTACTAAGAAAGTAGTAGTCAGTGAAAGTAGTCTTATCTGTACAATATTCCATTAAAAGATTCTACTCTTTAAAGTAACATGTTATTTTTTTCTTCTAACAAAGTATGACATTTTTTAAACAGATTTGAATTATATATCTTTGAAAAAAGATCTAAAATGAAACAGTGAAACAAAACCTGTCTAAGAACAAACCTTGCACATTCATGACAACTTAAATCTATCGTACGACCTCAATCCTAGTGTTAAATTTCAAACATAATTGAGAGCAAGGAGGAAAAGCAATATATAACCAGTAAGATAATTTTCCATCTCACACTTGCCTCACTTCCCAATGACTTGCCCACACCATACTACAAGAGCCAAAAAATTTCATACTACCATCTACATACAATTGAAAATAATTCCTTGACTGACTACAAACCATTAAATATTGCACTCTAACTTCTATGAATGCCAATGATGTTGTAGAGAGCAAAATTGCAACAGAAAATCACAATCATATTCTTCTTTACTAACTTCTGAAGGAAAGTGAAAACATATTCACTTGTTACACAATAAGTTATACCAAATGTGTTCCTTTCAAATAACTACTTTACATCATAGATTTTTTTTTCTAATAAGACAAGATTTTATCATTCACCTAAATTTTAGTATATCTAAACAGAGTGTCATCTGTATCACACAGAAAAGACAATGGATGTTAATGACATTCAAAAACATCAAATGAAAATAAATAACACATAAATAATCTAATGCTATCTAATAACTTTCATATTAGCAAAATTGGATCCTTCAACTGTCACATCCTCCAGCAACCAAAATACAAAAGGTATCAACTGACTGATATACAGATATAAGTCTTCAGTATTGAATAAGTATAGGAACTGTCATGCCTACTTGTCAATCACAGTCTGTCATGTGATTGCTCTTCCCGTGTCACTTGATGAGGAACCTTGTCATGACCAAGCTTTTGCACGTCATAATATTGCAACACTTCCTCTCTACAAATAACAAACAAGCACACGCACAGTTGCATATGAAAATATATTAGTGTTGAAATATAACGTAAACAGCTGCCATCTCTCGAAAAATGACGGAAATGACAAATTTTCATGTGACAGTGTTGGTGGAATCTCAGGAAAATGATAACAATTGTCGATCCTTGGAAGGAAAAATCATTAAATCACACCACGGCCCATTATTTAGGAAACAATTACCCCCTCTAGCGCAACGTATGCAAGTGGACGGTATCACAACCTACCTGTTACTCCAATTCAGCAAGTTTTCCCGATGTAAATGACTAATACAAGTCCATATTCCCATCTGTGACAGGTCTCTCTTGTGTTTACGGTGGGTGTTTTGCTGGGAGTCTCTGCCTTTCGAATTCCGCCCTACTTGCACCGCTTTCATTTGACTAAAC